AGGTATCGGATTGTTTATGATGAGATTAACTAATGATAGTTTCTGGGTTTGTCTTATAATAGAGAGGTGACGATCGATAAATTGTCAGGTGTTGAAATGATACCTTTATTTTTATAATGGCCAATAAGTAAAAAAATCGAAATATTCATGTTTATAATAATTTTAGTGGTTACGATGTTTTCACATTATGTTACGATTCTTCTAAATTTAGTTGCAAAATCCGTCTCAGCGCATGTAGTCTTTGAAAGGACAATTATATTGATTAATTAATAGGAATTAATGAGACATACCTAGCTATTTTAAATAATGATTTAGTTCTGTCTGATGTCGTAGACGAGGTCTATAATTTATGCAAATACTTCTAAGAACAACGACCCATGTTGTCTGATTTTATTTATTTCAAGCAGACTGCCAGAATTTTTATAATATTTGTGCCTTTTATTATTTTTATTTAGCACTTCTTAGTTTGAATTCGCAATCTTAATAAAACATCAAAAAGTGAGATAAGAGAATTTATGAGAAAAAAAGCTATGAAACAAAACTTGTTAAGAATGAAGAATTTTGGTTTTAGCTTAAAAATATCGCGAGTTTTTTGTTTCGCTGATTTGATTGTGCTGTTTCATAAACTCATACGTCACTTATGCGTTTCTGGTTTCAAATTAAGGATATCTTAGCATGAACAAAAATTGCCTTATTCATAATATTTAAATTTAAATTAAGAATATAAAGCCGTTTATCTCAATCGTTTGGCTTCAGCACTATGCAGGCGAAGTACGTCAGTTTTCTGTAAATCGGTGCATCCTTTTGAATATTATAATGCGGTATCAAATCGCATGTCTTTGTCTACACATCCGCTGGCTGTCACGTTCCCGAATGTAAAATTCAATACGAACCTTTTTTAACAAAAACCCGTTTAACAACGGATATTGTTTGAGCGATGATTGGAAATTAAGAGCTTTTTAACGACAGAAGTATTGGAAAATATGTCGAAGTTATACGTCTATTAATTTTCCTATCGGAACTACCAACATGACCTTTGACACGACTCTTCTTGTTTATTTCAAAGTATGTTCTTTTTTCAAAAATAGCCTTCACTTGATATTAAAATAATCTTATTACCTTTATTGTCTATTGTATTATAATATTTAAACGGTCGCAAAATTGTGATTTATATAAATAAAGGCGAGACACATCCTAATTGTATTTTGTGAATAATCAATCTTTACTGTCACAAATAGGGACAAATGGAGTGATGCAGAAAATATTATATAGGTCTTGATTTCGTGAGCACACACTTGGCCTGACCCACCTTTCACTTCCGCGAGCAGGTATATTGATAGGTAATATTCTACAGCTGTGCATCCTTTCCCAGCTTTCTTCCTTATCTGTGGGAATCGATGTGATATACCTATTATATTAATTCAAGTCCACCGGCGCCGAATACGTAAACCGAAAAAAAACAAAACTATTGATTGTAATGTCTCCAGTTGAATTAAACGGTTTATATTAATTTATATATTATACGTAACAAGTAGTCGCGTAACCACAGAGAATTCTATATTAGTTTACCATTTTACTAAGCTGTCAAATCACAAAATATAATTAAAAAAACAGTTTTTTTTTTGACATTTCAACATCATGGGATTGGGCTATAATTAACGTTATTAGACAAATTAATTTCTTAACACCTTTAACAATGGTCCATAGTGGTCAATTGCTCCATAATGATGATGTAACAAAGTGTTCGTTATTATAAATTAGTTTCAAAAACCGCAACAAACTTTGTTAAATTTCCGAGAACCGAAGGCGGCGGCGCGGGCGCTTCAATATGATCTAAAAGCGTGACTATAAATAAATCAATATAGTTATGCCTCGCAAGCATAATGAAATTCAATACACATAACAAAACAAATAATAAGCAATCAGCAGATGTCCATACTCGGAAGTGCATCGGGCATCGAACCCTTGATATCGCGAAACTGACGAAGCGTTTTAGCCACGTACCGCTGTTAACGCAGTTTGTGACTAGATTACTAAGCGTATTATATGAGGCTAATAAGAAAAAAACATGATTTTCAATAAGGACACTAAAAATGGATTTGTACTATTATTTGTGTAAGAATTAACAATTTTCAGTCACTGTGCGCTTGTAGATTAACATTTTTAGACTATACAAATATAGGTAAATAATTCTAGTCATATAATAGCATTTAGGCTACCCTACCTCTCATATGTTGTATTATATACGTTATTAGAAACGCGACGATCTAGTTCGGCAACCAGTTTGTATGCGCGAGTTAAAATTTTAGGTAAAAAATACGTTAGTGTATATTTTAATTCGGGCTTAGGAGAGTGCTTTTTTGAGTCTAGAGTAACATCGATAGGGAATGTTATACATGGTCTAGTAGTAGTTAGTGGTTCTAGTAATTTTGCAAGGACTCATGAAGAATTCCGTGCTGCTACTCTGTGAAGCTGTTTAACTCTGTCGTATTTTTTTTACATCTGAATCGATTTTTAATCTGTATATTGCCGTTGTGTGGATAATGCCGATATGTGAAAATATACAGTACATTACGGCCTACGGGAGACGCGTATGTATCAATGTGTTGGAGAAATTCGATGTGTAGCTGCAATTGATTACAGCGCTGCGGATGCGTGTTCAAATCCCACCTGTGTCATCGAATTTTTAATCTATATTCGAATTTTTAATATACATTTTGAAGTCACATGTCCAATATTTAGTTATAAGCTAGGCTAGGAGATTTATTAATAATATGCCATATAGAATAATTTAATATCGTTGTCAGTATTATCTTAATGTATGGTGTACAATAACGCTTTATAAGCTATTAAAAAATTCTTGAATGCGTCAACACAATTGATTATTTTTCCTTCCTCATACACAACGATTGTGTTTTATGGTAAATAACTTAATAGATAGCCAGTTTTATATCTATACGTTACTTTGAATAAGTATTGCGCGAGGTGTGGTATTGGTTCGAGTCTTCGACAAGTCCCATAATGTAAGCGGGCATCAACATATATTACGTGTTTAAATAAAACACTTTTAAATGGTTTAAAACGCGATATATATTAGTTAAACTTATCTGAAAATTATTTTAACTACGCTCGACGTTTCACATGCTTTACAAAAACTGTGGTAACGGGGAGGCGGGGAAAATAATTATCAAGAAAGTTTAATTAACATAAATCGCGTTTTAAACCGTTAAAGTGTTTTATTTAAATGTGTACTACTCGCGGAGACTACAGACAGTATGTATTATCTGGTTTGATGTTCTAAACGTGTCATAAATGAATCGATATAATTTCGCTGTGACAGCTAGAATATTTTCCGCAAAAGGTCAACGACCCCAATATGTCACGCACACACTTAAACCGCTTATGTAGCGGATATGACAACATCATTGCACTATATTTAATGCAATCACCACTTACAGCGACGCTCAAATCTAGAACCTTCAATCAATATACTTTGTATTTTTTCTAACTGTAATTGTAGTCACAAAATGGCCGATTTTAAAACCATAGAGTGTGTGATGACCTCTTATAGAGTAACGTTGAAGCCACAGATATCACAGGGATAGAGAATTATTGATTATGTATAGAACTTTTTTCTATTGTCGTTGACTTTGCCTACATACCTGTCCCTATGTAAATGTCAAATTTAAGACATTTTAATCGAAATCGTGATTAGGAAGTTTCATTAGTTTATTAAATAATACAATGTGTCAAAATGTCTGAAATGCCCCAGCCATGTAATATGTAATAAATACTCGCTGTTGATTTATTTTGGCTTTGGTCTAATTAATATGTATTCTAAACAACATGGCAGCAATACTTATTACTGATATAAGAATTAATGAAGCTATTGTATTTACCCTGGATATGTACCCGGAAACTCACGCGCTTAACAGCACTAGGGATTAGCTATGAAAGAGTTATTTTTTTGTTATTAAAATACCAGTACTATTAGTAAAAAACGTGTATACATAAAGTTTATGCGCTGGTTTTTGTCTATGGATTGTCTTAATCCAAACCAAAGAGGATGGCAGCCCCATAGAGCATGAGTATTTAACCTTTTCTCCATAAACTTTTTAGTTAGATGAAAACAAAACTCAAAGTACAAAATATGTATTTACGATCTTTGACGTAACAAGTCGTTTCCCGCAATAGATAATATAGGTAGAATAATTGCATTATCTAAATCGTGAGATTACGTTTTCGATAAGTGAAAATTTCTTTGCGAATTTTTATACGCCACGGATAAGATGATACCAACTAATTTATCGTATTACGACATAATTGTTACAATAAGCGACATTTATCTGTATGTATATGTTGGTGGTGTTTCGTTTATCTGAAGTATGAGTACAAATAGATATTAAACTGAGAGAAAAAAATTAGTACAATATCCAAGTAATGATGTTAAAAATTGTTTTAAAAATGGTTAACGATTGAACTGCATTGATTAAATTAGATTAAAACAAAAAAATATGCATAAATGCTAAATAGGAAATCTTAATGCCCCCATCCCCATTTAATTGGCAATCTTCTGATTTTTACTAGTTTCCTTAAAATTAAACGTGTTGAAAAAAAACAAATATTTTAATTAAAGCATATAAGTTCGTATGATAGACAAGATTTTTTGTTATTTGATAAGGCCTTAATTTTTTATTTATATCTATTTATAAAAATACTTGTTTTGTTGGCTTAAAACACCTACATTTACTATTATGACGAATCTGGAACGCTAATAGAAGAAAACAAATTGCCTGTTATTTCAGAGAAATGTGAAAGAACCGAGCGCCGTAGCACCGTAGCTTTAAGCCTCTACGAGATAGAGCTTTCTCTACGCCGTTGGCAGAGCCTTCAACAACTTTACTTTTATTATTATTTCATGCGGTACGATCTACTATACCGTATTTTCCTGCTAATATCAAAAATCTCGCCTCCAAACATTCCGCTAACAATGAACTTACTGTATCTCTTCATGAGTGACTTCTTGTACGCTTTCCCCGACGTGGGGTCGTCCCCGGGGCTGAGTCTGCCTGCGGAGTCATCCGAGTCGGTCCCGGAGTCCCGTCCGGCGGCCAAGTACTCCCGCGATTGGCGTAATATCGCCTGGGCGCGCACATAGTCCGTGGGATCAGCGAACGAATGTCTTGCGAACTCGCGAACGGTAATCTCTTTACGCGTATGCACAGTCAAGTCTAGGGGCGCATCATCAGAGTCCGGGTAGGCTTTGCGGGCAGCCAGAGTCCTGGGTTCCGGCTCGCTCATCGCTCTCCTGTCCTGTGGGGGGGATCTACGCGGGTCGGGTCCGGCACTCGCCGGCCGGCCTTCCACGGCCATCATGTTTAATTATTCACACGAACACCATCACAGTTATGTCATAGGGCGCAATATTTTCGCTACGTCCGCTCGCGGTCGCGTCGCGTCGCCGACTGATGTCCCAGTTTCCACGCTGAGTTCTACTGACTCGGTGAGCCGGCTCGGCTCGCACTCGGCGCCGATCGGACACTTTCGTTTTCGTCGGTGCACACAGGCGCACAGGCGCGCGCACACAAAGTCGCAGCGCCCGTGTGAGCTTTTCCACTTTCATTCGAGCTTTCCTTATATTTCCATTGGCTTTTCACTATTAATTAAGCCTAGCTCGATTCAGATATTTTTAACGACTCGCCGGTATTCAATGGTATCTCTCCCTGTGACCCACTTAGTATCTGAGTCAGTCTTGGCAGTGTTTTAGCCGGATACATAATTCAAGTTACACAATCTGAATATTGTATTAATTATACGATGACATTAACGCGATAAGGGCCTTAACATTATCGATATAAACGAACGGACGCGAATTTAGTTGTATCGAGTATGTTTTGAGTAAATAATTTTATTATTATATAATAGGTGATATTGTAAAGAGGCCTCCTAGATGCTCCGGAACGAACAATCAGTAGTTTTGCGTAATAAAGCTACGTAAACAAAGTATTTTTTTTTATCTAACACTCGGGGCATTGACCGAATTAACAAATAATGTTGCGCGTGCGACTACCACGTGACACACTGACTCGGCTAGCGTAGTTGGATCTTTCGACGCGTAACGTCAGGCTGCTTTTAAAGGTCGAATAATAATGGTTACGAGAGTAGGACCAATGTCAACTGTATTTGGTTTTTGATAATGGCCGAAATTTTATGCTACTACAACACAAATAGAGTATGTACACTAACATTTGATATAAATGAGCATATTATTTACTTTCTCGATTGGTATAAACTCTTATGGGCAACATAATGAGTATATTTTTTTCTGTTAAGCAGAAAATGTATGAGCCCGAAAATAGGCCGACAGCGCATCTTCATCTGATGTTAAATGGTCGTTCCACCTTCCAATAAGTATGCTCCTCGTTTATTCTGACGTTTGTCTCTGACAAACAAAAGGTATTTTTTTAAAGTTTGTGTGACTCTTATTTTAGAGACAATTGTTTTCGAAATATTTCTTATATAATATAATTATGCCATATCATTAGTAGCCGTAAAAGACGATTGATTCATTTGTGACACTTGTAACTAGACTATCTATCCTTTTTTTTCTATTACTTAAGCCTCTATTAAAAATAATTATTATGAAATATTTCCTCATTGTCAAACTAATAAGAATCTAGCGAGATACACTTCGGATAGTGCTTATCGAAAGGTTAACTGGTCGGGCGTCGAACCGACACCCGATTGTCACAAGTGACGATTATATAACTCGGCTATCTGTTTCATATTTATTTACGTCGTATAATTTGGTAAATTTCCTTTACGATTAGACAGGAAAATTATCGCAAGATCTAAGACATTGTTTGTTTTACTTCAATGTAAGGGCGCTGAGGCTTCTATACCAGAAACACAAAACTAGAACCTTTTCTCACACTTCAGGTGTGTAACCAAATATATGAGCAGGAACCAAAATATAAGTATAAAATTATTTTTTAACAGTTTATATATATATATAGTGCGAAATATAGATCTCATTTAGTTTGGCTACGGCCTGACGTTTCGCATGGTTTGTAGTCGCCGTGGTCACAGAGAACCCCGTAGTAAAAAAAAACGATAAAATGCTTAAAATATAATTATTTAAAATAATCTAATTTTATATATTGATATGTTTCTTTTGATAATTACTCGAAAAAGGTAATAGTAAGTATTTTTCATAAGTTAAACAATTATTAAATATTATAGTTTTGTGAAGTGTAAATCTACGTCTCTATCAGTCTGTGGATTCCCGAACGTCGAAAGCCAAAATATGTCAACGGCGCATGTTGTTAAAATTTTATCAGGCTCAAGTATTTTTACTGTTCACTAAGTGTCCGTCCTCTTCTGCCATTAAAAAAACTTCACATAATGACCGCAGATTCTCAAAATAGAATAAAAATCGATTCTGCAATAAGATCATCAATCCTGTCTCTTTGGCGCCGATAGAGCGAGACGGGGAAAAAGAGATAGCAATTCCGAATCTACAGAATAAACACAATATTTAATTAAATAAGCTATTATTTTTGATAAAACAATAACGCATCGCAGTTATATATTTTTATGTCTGTACGCAAATGCCGAAATGTACCTTGAATTTTTAGTTCTTTGGTATCCACGAAAGTAGTAAGTGAATATCCTTTTAAATAATCAAGTTCTGTAGTATAGTCCCATGCCAGAAATATACTTGTAACGATTCATTAAATGTGAAGTTATATTTATCTAAACATAGTGTTTGTTGTACTTAAATAAGTCGTCCCGTATATGAATGTCTAAGTAATGTAAAACTTAAACAACTTTGTTTAAAAACAGCTTAAACAATTAGGAATTTTATCATTCCACATCTATCGGATAGATATCGGTTTACATCGACGTTACACATATTAAAAACATAACGGTATTTTCTGCCCAACAGTGGCACGTTTGAAACAATAAAAACATAAAGCAATAATTGCAAGATCATTTCCGAACTGATACGGGCAAGTGCAGTCGTTGTACGGTTTCAAGGATGCGCTGCGCGTACGCACACTTACATATGGTTAGGGGTGGCTTCAAACTATTCGGCTTTAGTTTATATATCTTTAAGCGTAATAAGTTATGGGTGTATTTTGTTTTTTGGGGATAGACTCCTCAAGTACGCTGATCATAACCCGTCTTGGAAAATGGCAATAAATCAATTTTCGGTATGCTCTAATTCAAAGAATTTGTCAAATATCAAAAAACATTTTATTATATGACCGGATATCCAACTAACGATACCGAACCTAAAACGAGCCTTAAATGCACTTTTAATAATGGTTAATATTCCTAATATTATTAAATATTCGTAGGAACATTTACTATTATTGCTGTAGAGTAAAGCTCTACTTTAGATTTCAAAATAGTTGATGATACAGGAAGGAGGACGGAGGAGGGAATAACTGAAGCCGACGTTCAGATCTACCAATAGTTACGAGGTTAGTTTCAATTGATAGAATTTGAAAAACGAATTTTAATAAATAATTTTAATTTTAAATTTATTTTAAGGTACAATGTGCCATCTTAATGTTTTGTGTTGCAAGCCCTAATGTCTAGTGAGACGCACACAACCCTACAACACACGTTTGTAGTAATTGGCGACGATTAGTACGGTAAAGTTTTTTACAAAAATAGCTGGAAACCATGTTGGATTAGGTTATGTTCCATGCAGTTGCATTTTGTTCTCATGTATTGAATAATAGTATAAACAGGTAATTTAATCCTTTTAGTAACGCCTAGAATAAAATTAAACAATTTGTAACACAACCGTACAAGTTGTGGGGGCAATGTATAGCTCATTTCTATCATTATATATTAGTTCTATCCGAACCGTGTCCAACTTGATTCAAATAAATTTATAATTTCCCCGTAACATGTTGGAATTCGTCGTGAAATCGCGTAACAAACGCCGTCCACAGATGAAAAAGACGTGGAATTAATTGGCGTTTCAATTTCAATCTGTGGATTTCGAACCAAAGCCCATAGGTTAAAATAGGTCAAAAATGACAATCGTCATTCACCCTAAACAAGATGCACTGTCGCTCCATTTGTGGATGTTGTATGATTTGAGCAACGTTTAAAATTAGTTTGTTATAACCAAAAATAAAAAAAGCTTTAGTAAGTATCCACATTTTTCTTTTGTTGTTTTATAGCTATCATTTAATAAATTCGATTAGCAGAACAGATACCGAGAACAAATACTAGAAAAGACAATAACAGGTAAATAAGACAAGTGTTTGTTTGCCTTGAAGCGAGTGTCGGGTCATTGGTGGGCATTTAGAATCATTATTTCATTGCTAATCGCCAGGGAAAGAATTTAATACAGCTATAGAAAATTAAATTCCTTTTATGTTACATCTGTAGTTTATATGATTAGTTTACATTTACATAAAACGCTAGTTTTCCAGCAGCCGTGTTCACGTGGAACGTGTCCGCCCGTCTGTGTGTCTTCCCGTGACCACGGCTGCTTCAACGCAACCTAAACGGCGGGCCGTAGTAAAAATAAATAAGTTTAACTAATACATTTCGTGTTTTAAACCGTTAAAAGCCCTTTATTTACAGTTATAATTTAAGAAGCGATAGTTATAGTCCCCCAGAATATTTTTCCTTACTGATGTAGCACGTTCACTTGACGAAAGATAGCCCTATAACGTATAATAGTTAAGATGCTTTGTCGACATTTTTTCTATATGTCCTGCCCGAGTCGAAAGTCACCCGAGTCGTCAGGACTTGAACAAGCACCATCAGCGTTCCGTGCTGTTGCTCTACTAATTGAGCTACCGAGTCCTACACCTCATCATCGAATTTTTTCAACATGCACCTCTCGCTCAGTGCAATTTCAACCTTACCACTTGCGTAGTAATTTTGTATGAAACATATAAGACACAATGGAAATCTAACACAAGATACGTTCCAGATATCGAAGCTAGCTTGTCAGTAGCAGCGGTACCATGCGTGGGCGCAATATTGTGTTAATACTGATCCGATATGATAACTATTTTCATAATTAGTTTATTTTCAACCAATACAATTCCCATTTCCGAAGATACATAATCGGGACACTATCCTAGACAGCGAGTCTTAGAGCATAGCTACGCGGTTATTAGAGGATTTTTTTAAAATAGTTGCTTGTCTTGTGATCTTCTAATGAAAGTACAACACTTCTATATTAGCATTGACGTTTTGAGTTATAGGTGTGACTCGGGGACAATATAGTCCATATGCATATAATAGTGTGTAGCAACACGCGATAAAAACAGGCAAGCGGTAATCTTAGTAAATTTTCACTTAAGAGAAAAATATCGATAGTGAAAACGGTAAACAAA